TCGGCAAGCCCATTAACAATAAGATGATCAATAATAATTATTGAGGCCCAAAATCTGATTGTAAATTAAAAAGCTTTATGTTTTGAATATTAGTTGAACTATGACACCATCAAAACGTGTATATTATAATAATACACTAAATTTTTGATCTGCGATTAAAAAGCGCGAATATTATTTTTGTTTTATCACAAATAGATTGTTAAGAGTTTTGATTTGATGATATAAAATATCACAGAATCAAGATCAAGTTATTATGCGGGTATGAATAAATTTTTATTTTATACGTCTCAAACCATTCTTTTATGTTTCTAAATAAGTTAACAATGGTTATACCTGAAATGTGTACTTGAGAAAGATTGTATATTTAACAATTAAATGGTCCATTTTTTTTTTAGTTTTGTGATTAATTCGTAAAATTATTTAGTTACAAAATTTCAATCGCTCAGTCCGACCCGCCCCTTCCAACCCGCTCCGTAGCGGGTTGAGTCATTTTTTCGACTGAAAAATTTGACCCGTCTGACCCACAAAAAATCTATTTTTGCAAGAATTTTTTTTTATTAATTTTTTTTAAAAAATAACCCAAATATTATTTAACTTGGTTTCATTATTATTTTTGTTTCTCTAAATAACCTATTTATTTTTTAAATTCTCAAAAAATTGAATTTTATATAGAAAAACTCTCACATTTTAGTGCTTACTTTGCCAAATAAACTAAATAAAAATACAATAAAAGAAAAATACAATCTCATAGTTTATAAGTAAAGACTAATCACAGTGAACAAGACACATCAATGTTAGTTCTAAAGAACATATGAATCTATAATATAAAATATATAAACAATTAAAACTGCCTTTTCAAAAATTAAAAATATATGATTATAAAGAATAAATATCCGCGCGGGCGCGCGGGTCAAAAGCTAGTTTTGCTTATAACCCTTTACTTCCATCTCTTAGAATAGGCCAATAGGGTGTGTATTTAATCTAGAATGTGAAGCTATTTGGTTTGTAATGAAATTTCAGATGATTTCATATGCATTGGTGAACTTTTTCGTTAAACCATTTTTGAATATCATATAAAGGCATGTGATTTAGACTTTCTCAACTAAAAAACCTTCATCCAAACACTATAAAAACACTTGAAAAATTAAAATTTTACAACTTAAATTATTTTCGCTAAAGGTGAATTTCATTATAAAATATCATTTTTAATAACAGTGGATTTATTGGTGCAGTACAATCATTTCAAATTCTCAGTTGAATACACTTTTTTATATATTAGAGATTCTTAAACCAACAAATGAAAAATAGAAAATCTGATTAAAATGAGATGTTAAATTCAATAACACTCAATTATATACTCAAAATCTCAAATGTTTAAGTATCAATTATATTTAAGTCTGTGATTCAACTAAATAAAGCTTTGATTTTTTTTTTTTTTTTAAGTTATCAATCTAGCTTTTTCAAGTTATTAATCTTTTTTTTTAAGTTACCAATCTAGCTTTTTTCAAGTTATTAATCTAGTTTACTCCTTAAAGCATGGCTAAAAATTAGAAAAGACCAAAGCACCCTGAACTGAACGGAGTCAACGGACGGAGCATATACTGTTAAGAGGAAACAGATGTGATGGTGGGGCCATCTCTTTTATAAATCCGACTCTTCCTTTTTCTTCTTCTCTCAACATTTCTCCGCCCTTCCTTCACCGGTTTAGTCTCTCTCTCCGGTGAGAAAACTAATTGGAATCTCCCTTTTAAATTTTGATGCGAACAATCTTAACCTTCTTCATATTTTAGATTCTACTATTCAACCTATTAGTCACTGTTTATGCCTAAAAAATAGATTTTCATAGCTCATTGGAACAATCATCTCGTTTCTGTCTTTGTAGGAACAATTAGGTTTTAAAAATTACATCTTTGGATGGGTTTGGATCCTGAAGAAGCTGTTTCTGTGGTAGAACATGAGGAAGCTGAATCACTTGGAGCTCTGTGTTTACATGCATTTTCAGACTTAACCCATGTTTCTCCGGTTGTGTTCTTATACCTTCTCAAACAATGCTATATTCATGGTAAAGTCCTAACCTTTACTGTTATTTTTTTGACAAAAAGTAAAGTCATAACCTTTACTGTTTTTTTTTTTTTCAAAGTTCCCAAGTTGTGTGCATTTTAGTTTATTAAATTGAGTAATTTTTCAGGAAGCTGCAAGGCAACAAAGAAGTTCCAAGCGTTGCAGCATCGAGTCCATCAAGTTCTGGCTAACAATCCACAACCAGGGCCTTCTACTTTCATTGTTCACTGTCTAAATGTGCTTCCTGTGTTTGGAGTATACGGTGAAGGCTTTAGTCACTTGGTCATATCAGCTCTTCGACGCTACTTCAAGTCAGCTTCCCCTAGTCAAGAAGACGCTGTTTTCGCGAGAAGGCTAGCTGCTAGGCTCTTCCTTGATATTGTTGGTGGATCAGTTCCTTATGATGAGAAAGTTATGGTGAATACTCTTAAAGTGTTTGATGTTGGGTTAACAAGTGTCGATGAAGCCTTGTCTGCTAGGGAGGAGGGATCTGCTACTTCTGGTAGTGTGTTTCTTGAGGAATACATCTCTGAGTTGATTAAGGCCAAGTCTTTCATGACGGCTGTGTCTCTGTTGGAGCATTTCTCTTTCAGTTTCCCTGGAGAGAGTTTTCTTCAGCAGATGGTTGAGGATAAAGACTTCCAAGCTGCTGAGAAATGGGCCACTTTCATGGGACGGTCCAGTTTGTGTGTTCTTGTGCAAGAGTATGGATCAAGGAATATGCTGAAGCAGGCTTATAATGTTATGAAGAAGAATAATCTCCAGCATGAGTTTCCTGATTTGTGTTACAAGTGTAAAGAAAGGTCGCTTTTGCCTTCTCGGTGTTTTGATATATATATATGTAGAATTAACAGTATAAGATGACATTTATCTTAATCAATGTGCAGTGCATTGAAGGATCTAGCTGAAAAAGCGTGTTGGGATGTTGCTGAAATAAAGGCAAAAGGTGACAGGCAGCTACTTGAGTATCTGGTGAGAACTTTCTTGTACATTGGTTCTGTAATCATTTACCCAAAGTGTTAAAGTTCTTTTTTGTTTTAAGGTTTACTTGGCAATGGAAGCTGGGTACTATGAGAAAGTTGATGAACTTTGTGATCGTTATTCACTTGAAGGTCTGCCAAAAGCACAAGGTATGGAACTTCTCTTAGTGTGTTTTTAAAACTAGAAGATGCTTACAGTGGTATTATATTCTGTATGTTGCTGCTCAGATGCTGAGGTTGATTTTGTCAACAAATGCTTTCTGCATCTCAACGATCTTGCTGTGGAAGAAGTAGTATGGGTTGATGAAGTAAATGGGTTAACAGAAGCAACTTCTTTTCTTGAAGGATGTAAAGTTGTGGGTCTTGACTGTGAATGGAAACCCAATTATTTGAAAGGCTGTAAACCGAACAAGGTAAACTAACTACTCTGGAGTTTCTTCCCATTCCTGTTGTAAATATACTTTATTGTTCTTTTGTCTTCAGGTTTCAATCATGCAAATTGGATCAGATACCAGGATTTTCATACTTGACTTGATAAAGCTATACAATGACGCGTCTGACGTTCTAGACACCTGCCTTAGTCAGATTTTGCAATCGTATAGTACATTAAAGCTCGGTATGTATGAGATGTGTATCATCTTTTTATAAAACTTTTGCTTGCCTTATTAAAGATTCTCTCTGACTGAGCTGAGCATCATCATCTCAGGTTACAATTTTCAGTGTGACATCAAACAATTGGCGCTTTCGTATGGGGATCTGAAGTGTTTCAAGCGCTATGACATGTTGCTAGACATTCAAAACGTTTTCAAAGAACCATGTGGTGGTTTATCAGGACTAACCAAGGTGGGTAGTTCACAAAATCATTTGATGTTATATTTACTTGGAAAGGTAGATATAGAGTTTACAATTTTAAGTCGTTTGTTTATATCATTCTGATCTCTTTGTTGTGTATCAGAAAATATTGGGAGTGGGTTTGAACAAAACAAGACGCAATAGCGACTGGGAACAAAGGCCTTTGACACAGAATCAGGTTCATAAACCTGTTCATTATCACCTCAGCTAGAACCTGACTGAAGATGTTCCATACTGAATCATAATCATTATATTATGAGAGGCTTTCCTAAAACATTTTGAATCTGATAATAAAGTGAATTGTGCAGCTGGAGTATGCTGCTCTCGATGCTGCGGTGCTGATTCACATTTTTCGACATGTTCGCGATCATCCTCCACATGACAGTACTTTAGAGACAGTCCAATGGAAATCTCACATTGTAAGTATCTCTTCAAGTAATAATTTAAGAACTGAATCAGAGAGAGTTTGAAGATAATTTTTAAAAGAGAGGGTTCTGTTGGCATAATATGTAATGTAAATGGCAACTGGTGTGTAAAGAATGAATCTAAGGTGAGCAAATAATTTGTAGGTCTCCCACATGGATAACCCCAAGAAGTCGAAGAAGAAGCCTAAGTGCCATTCAACCCAAACATCAGATTCGACATTTAACAAGCCATCAAGCAGTTGAAACAAAGGAGAGAAAGGTGGTATTTAACTGTAGTTTTTTCCTATGTAGGGGATTCGGTTTATATAAATGTTGGATGATTCAAGTAGGAGCCACTTAGGTTAGATGGCCTCACCCACCTAACTGGAAATGAGTGGTGAATCTATTTTCATTTACATACATGCTCTTGTAGTCTTCACAGTATCAGCGGCTGCAAACCGATATGATTATTCCAAATGAAATAACCAGACAAAAGAGGTCCTTGAGAGCATAATCTCCCACATTGAAGTTCCATGTATATTAAGCACACAACAAGTTCTTTTCCGTGTTGAAGGATTTCAAATTGCCTCTTCTTTAATATCTGTGGCCTTCTTTCATCACAAATAACATGTTGTTGGTAGTAACTGATTTCCATCTTCTATAATCCGCAAACAATATATGTTATTCACAGCCTTAATTAAGAGTACGAATATTTATTTGAAATGCCACCAATACAGAAAACTGAAAGAGAAACTAAACTTCAAACTACTTTTATTAGGAAACAACCAAGATTAATACAACACCAAACACAGAGACATTGCATAATCTATCATGCCCCTTTGCTACACTTGAGGCACTTATTACATCATTACAAACGTACGTAGGCTCATAAACACACATAAGTGTATATATGGTCGTTATTGAATTTTAGTTGCCGGGCTTTGTCTGAACAGCTTCTCCCGCATAAGAGCAACATTCTGAGCAGCCACTGTAAGCTAGTTGGCAGCAGCCGTGGCGGCAGTTACCTCCTTCGTAGGGGTCCCCTCCGCTGAATCCTTTTATGTTGTAGCCTTTATGGCCACCACCACCAAATTGTTCTGTTCCCTCAGTTTTCTCACTCTCTGACTTCACCACACCTGTCCCAAACAACATGAATATTATTTTAAAGAATCTACTAACACTTGCAGATGTGCATTACTCTCCTGGATTTCTAAATATCTCTAGAATTATTTACAAGATATCTGTAAAATCGGATCATAATTTTTAAAAATTTGCTCTACATGTTTAAGAGGTTTCTGATACCCTGATACATATCTCACTTACTAGGTTTTAGGATTAACATCATCTATTTTTTTTTTTTTTTTTTTTTTGTCAGAGATTAACAGCATAGATTTATTCCGTGGTGTGTTTGGACTTGTGTAAGTCCAAGTCATTGACTGTAGCTCAAACAAACGTTACGAGCTTAGAGAGGACGTAACAGTGGGATTGGTACGTTTATTTTAATTTGCACTAAACTTGGAATTGTGGTGTCAATTTAGTCACACAAACATTTTCAATATAGCCTGAAATATATAAAATATTTGTAAGCACCTGGCTGCCTTTCAGATGCCGCGACAACGGCTGAGACGACGAAAAGAAGTGCAAAGAGACCCAACACAATCAAAGACTTGGACGTCATTTTCTTCAACCGTGTATAATCTTAAATTATATGGAGAAACAAGTTATGAATGAAATGTTGTTACCCCGTGTATGTGCACTATTTAAAGAAAAGGGGGAACAGGAAATAAGAAATGTCAAAAATAATTTGAAGGCCAAATAAAATATTTGAGAAAATTTATTACCATACAAAATAAAATGGTAAAAGGGGGGGGGGGGGACTGGGTAAGTATCAATTGCGTCCGGCCCTTGCTTTGGTTAGTTGTTGGATTCATTGTATATAATTTGAACCTACATAAGTGGAAGCCCCCACTAGGCACTAGTCATTTAGATCTTTCTATAAAATGTCTTCGTCAACACAGCGCATCGCACGTACGTTGGATTAGATTTTATTTTTATTTTTATTTTTGGTAAACAAATGCAAGAAAAGGATCCCAAGCATCATATGGATGTCAATCTCTTCTTTATGGACGTGAAGTCGTGAACTATTACTCCAAGGAAAAAGAATGGAACGTTTTCTCAAGATATTGACGTACACAACTTGGATCCGCCACACTCAGTTGAGACTAGGCAGACTTGGCAATCCCCTCCCTCAGGATGTTTTAAATATAATTACGATGTTTCTCATGCTTTAGTAAGAGGTTATGTTACATGGAAACGAAATCGTATGGAAACGCGAAACCGAGATTTTAAAAAAAATTAGGAATCAGATACGTCTTGGAAGTAATATACATATATATATATATAAGAAAATTTTATAAATTTTATAACTAAGAATTATATGATTCTAACTTAAAATAAAACATTTATTCATTTATCATAATTTTAAATGATTGCGTATTATAATTATAAAAATACGGATAAATTATTTATAAACAAATATTACCAATTAGTTATTTTTTACATTTTATAAATAATTGGCACACCATATTTGAATATATATGTGATATATCTCTAATAAAAACAGTGCATACATATGATTTATAGTATTAATATTTACATATATATATATATATATATATTCTCGCTATATATACTATTATATACTATAAAAACATAAAAATAATTTTATATTTTATTTATTTATACATGATATTGTGTTTTTAAAATTGGAAGCGTGATTCCAAAGTGGAATCGTAAGCTTCCCACGTGTTTTTATATAGGATATTTTAGAAGCGTTTTGAAATCGAGATTCCACAAGTTTCCACAAGGTTCCGATTCCGATTCTGAAGTAAAAAACGCCGATAAAACTTCCGTACAACGTAAGTAAGAGAAGAGTGTACGGCTCTGGTTTAGAGTTTGTAATAACATGGGGCATGTATGGAAAATTTGAAGGTTGACAGGCGGTTGGAGGAGCAGAGTGTACGGCTTTGATTTGGAGTCTCCAAGCAGCATGGTCTCTTGGTTATAGCAAGATTAGTTTTGAAGGGGATAATACCATGGTCAGGGATGGGTATGGATCAAGCTGGATGAAACATTCGTTCACCTATGGTCTCCAAAATTTTTGAAATTTTTTATATTGATTAGGTCTCCAAATTTATAAAATAAAGGTCCCAAATCTTAAAAAATAATAATTAAATTTTTTTACTAAATTGTTTATGGCCCCCAAATTTCCAGGGCGGGCCTCGACAATAGTCAACCTATGCATTAATCAGCAAACCACTAATGTACGGCCACAAAATAATTAACAAGTTTTGGAACGGTCGAAATGCTTCTGAGTCTACTAAATTTTCATTTTCGAATTCATGTGCGGATTCTCTTGCTAAGAAAGCTATTATTACAGATACACAATGCAGGGTGTTCCATTATTATCCAAGTTTTCTAACACACAGATGTAATGACTGATTTTCCATAGTAACGATAACGAAGGTATAGATGACAAAAAAATCAATATGACTCATAATATAAAAATAAATATATATATTGTTTTCTTACATAGGATTTAGCCCCAAATTCATCACTCACACACTTTTATATGACATTAATATGATTGACTTCAAAATGCATATACAGAAAAATTACTCGTTTTAATAAAATGTACGCAACTGTACAAACTCTTTGGTTTTTCACGTATCAAAATAACACGTTACCGAGAAAATAATTGATTTTTGTAACAAATAAACAAACAGTGTAAATATAAATCTTATTATTGGCCGGGTAGACGATGAAATAGGTTTCTTATTTTATTAAATAAAAAGTCTCTTTTATTCTTATCATATTATTCCAACAGAGAACACTGAGACCAAACGAGCACAACATAAAGTACATACTCTTATACTTCATTTCATTTCTTACTTGCATTTGCATTATCAAGTAACACGACACATGTACGCGTGTTTTAGCAACTAAGGTTAGAACCAGGGTCCACAGCAAGCTGTCCACAATAATCTCGGTAGTACCTAATCCTTTCATTGACTGCACCCAAATTCCCACCGTTACATTCACTTCCATTGATGGCTCTTATGGTTGCTCCAAATCCTTGGTTGAGTACTGGCCTTACGCTATTCATCCAAAACCGCAAACTTGTTTTGAAACCTAGAGTTGGGTTGCTACCAACAAGCTCAGGCTGACGGAGAAGGTCGATATTGAGACGTTCACCACGAACGAAGTAGCCTATGCCAGGAGGATGACATGGCATTTGTATCTGAGGTTCCTTGCATGCATCACTTAACGTTCCATTTATTGCTTGTATGTAGCAGAAGTCTATACGACATGCACATGAAACAAAGTGAATTATAATCAGCCCAATTAATTGAGATCAAGTCCAATGTTCAGATTTTACAGCATGTCAATATTCAATCCTTTAGTTCTCGAAAATAATCTATTAATATTTATCGGTCGTGACTGTTTATTTTTATAATAATATATTGGAAAAGCATAGAAGATAGAGAGAGAAGTCTTACGTCCAGTCCCGTGAGAGTAATGAGCAAACATGGCAGCAATTTCACGTCTAGTAACGAAACTACCAAAGTTGGGGAAAGTATTAGCGGCGTTAATGAAAGAGTCGTGAGTGTAGAATCTTTTTCCGGCGCAGCCACCACCAGCTTTTTTTGTAATGTTGTTAAAGAACTGCTGTGTCACAATGCTACTGACCGATTCACCACCGTTTGAGGTTCCATTGCTTCTACAAGGACCTGATTGGCATCCAGCACCGCAGTGAGCATCGTTGGTACCGCAATAACCGAACTGACTGCAACAGAGGTTTGGAGCACAACCGCAGTTTTGAGACTTGGCGGTTATCGAGTATAAACCAACGAGGGAAAGGAAAATTACTAAGGAAATTTTTGTGAAAGCCATGTTTTGGTTATTGTCTGTGGTTTGATAAGGAATATATAATTTATGAGGTATATATAGGGATATATGTTACATAGTTCGGTAATTTTACGTTTTGTTACGTGAAGAAGTAAAAAAAAAAAATTATTTTCGTTTAAGAAGAACGAGGATGGTAATTAATCTTTGACAAGCGGTTCCTCTTTGTTAGACCATCTCCAACCATGTATCTATGGGGTTCTATGTCACACTTCTAACTAATTAAAGGTTCAAAAATAAATCAGAAAGAATTAAATTAGATAGATATGTATCTAAAATTTTGATTTTTGGAACCACTTCTAACTGACACGTGCCACTTTGTAATAGGATTCCAATTAGGAAAAAAAAATCCTTCCCAATTGTTCTCTGTTTCTCCTTTCCGTCGAGTGAAAGAAGTTGAAAAAAAAAATGCTTGGGGAGAAGAAGAGATGAAGACGGGGAGACGAGCCTACGAGTTTGAGGATCGTAGAGCTGATTTCGCTGTACACATTATGAAGCCGAAGCATAGAGTTAAGTTGTTTTTTTGTTAAACCTTCTCATTAGTAAACTAAAAATGAGTGTGAATGTGTGTGTTGCATGTTAAGCCTTTTCCCCCTTTTAAGTGTTTTCTTTAATCGTCTTGTTAAGCAGAATCCATTTGAGAATGTGTGGGTTGCATGTTTAGGCTTCCCATAAACCTGATGATGTTGAAGCTGACCCTTCTCTTGTTGAAGGTATATTCATATACTGAGACTGTAAAAATCTTAACTTTTCCAAACTTTTGATGATACATTTTTAGTCAGGCTTGCACAAAGTCTTTGCCTTTTTATTTGTTTTTCTTTATGTTTGGTATTGACACCGTATTCTGTTGCTTTTCCCTAGAGAAATTTTGGATAAGAATGAAACACACAGGAAGAACCCATTTGTTTCAGAAGAGTATGTGATTTTTACTAAATCCTTGGTTTGGTACATGCCTTCCTTTATGGCAGTTTTGAGTGAGCGTCCCATGTTAGACTACTTCTTTTTTTTCATATCTTTTGTTCAAGACTCAACATAGGACTCAATTTTATGCCTCTTGTTATTTCAGGCAATTTGTTATGCCTTGATTCGACCTCTGTCTAAGAACTGAGACGGTTGCAGAGACCTTGTGGCTTGAGTTTGTTTGGATCGTTGACTGGTGGGCAGGTTTAAAGGTATTTTTCCCTCGTTTTTTTTATTGAAATGATTAGGAACCAGACCTCTTGAATGCGTGTTATATCAAGACCATATGTAGATTTTATTAGACTTCATCTTGTTTATTGAGAACCATAGTATCAAAGTCATATACTAATTGGCTTGTGGGATGAATTTTGGCTCAGGTACATGCTTAAATGTGGATAAACATATACTTCTTGGTGACCAAACTTGTAATGGAGAGAGGATATAATAAAGTGTGAGGCAAGTAAATTTATAAGTTTTCAAATTTTTGAAATTTAGGATCTTAAATTGGTTCTACCATTGGAGGGGCTAAAATTTAACAAGTATCTAAATTTTTAAATTTGATTATTTTCAATTAAAATTTAGATTTGGAACTCTATCTCCATATCTATTGTTGGAGATGGTCTTAGAGAAAAACGCCGACATTTTGCTTCTATACTAATTTCTGGCTTTCGGCTGTCCGATCAATCTTTCCATATCTTAAGACGTGGTCAAATTTGACGTAAATTTCGCCATAGACTACTTATATTATAAGGGATCCTAAGAGCACATCAACGGGGGTGCTTACCCGGTTGCTTAACACTTTTTTTTAAAAAAAAATAAAAGG